TCCTCAAAAAAGAGGCTGAAATTTGGGTGCGTCTTATACACCGAATACAGCAATTTTTGCCTACTGAAGCCCCGCCCCTTCACCAAAATGGCTGTGCATAGCCTTATGGAGGCTTATAGATTGTGCTGGGGCCTGGGGGGGGCAAAAAACTGCCCATTTTTGCCCATTTCTGCTCTCCCCAGCCCCCAGGAGTTCTCTGAAAGCCTCCATAAGGCTATGCACAGCCATTTTGGTGAAGGGGCGGGGCTTCAGTAGGCAAAAATTGCTGTATTCGGTGTATAAGACGCACCCAAATTTCAGCCTCTTTTTTGAGGAAAAAAGGTGCGTCTTATATTCTGAAAAATATGGTACTTAAAAATTAAGTTTTGGAGAAGAGGGAATTTCCTATTTAGCTCTTCCCAGAATTTCTGGTAGGAGGTCCATTACCCAATTTAAGATTTGGTTGGGAGGGCATAACTTCTCCTTAGGTGAACTCCTCATCTAGGTGAATAACTATATTGAGACAATCTTAAAGTTGGAGGTTGAACATGAGGAGCAGAGAAAGCTCCATCCTTGTTTTAATGAGAAATATGCCTACCTGAACCTGGTCCATCCAGAAAAAACTCAAGGGCATTTCTAAATCCTATAATGTATATGATTCTATCTCCTCTATTTGTTTGGAAGAGTTTTTACTTACTCAGAAAAAGGAAATCAGAGTTAGTGGTTGAGGAATAACTGAACCCATTTGTCTTTTGGTTTCCTATTTTATAAGAGCAACTTTACACAATGTCAGAATTACAAATATGCTACCAATACCTAAATATTGGTGATTCCTATGTGCTCCTATTGGCAATTACCTGCTAATACATTTATTCCCACAAAAATCAGTATGTTCAAAGGAAGTTTTCAGTTATATGCCTCAGACATGTAATTTATGCATGCATATAATTCATGCAGTTATATATTGTTAAAATATTAAGTCTTCTGCAATAGCTTTGCAAATATTAGAAGACACAGATAAATACTGATAGGTTAAACATGGATATACCAAAAGAAATACATGTACTTCTGTCAGCTAAAAGCACAGATGGTGATTCATCAATATTTTTTCTCCCTGTCCTGAAGATTGCTGAATTTTAAAAATTCTTGACCTTCAGTGAATTTGTGGAAGGCTGGTAATTTATTGTGTGCATGGAAGCCATAGGTTAGACTCTAGTCAAATTAATTTTTATGTCATTATCACAAAATTAATTCTCTTCTGGAGATCAAAAATTGATGACTTTCCACTATGGTATAACTAGACTTTGCTTCTATGGCAAAAAACACATTTATCTTTGCCTCTACCTCATCCATATTTCCTTGTTCCCAAATCTGCTACAATGGTTTTTCAGTTCTCTGGAGGAGATCTGAACGATTGTCCACTCCACTAGTGGTGAGACCAGTGATGGCGAACCTTTTCGGCACCGAGTGCTGAAAAGATTGCATCATAGGTCTGCCATAATGGGGCTAGACAATGAAATGCAGCCTCTAGTTGTGATCCAGAATCAACATTGCTCTTGTAACGATGCAGATAATGAAATAGGGATTATTTTAAAAAAACAAATGTCTATTATGCTGTTTCTTCATGTGTATTTAAATGAATTTATATTTTTAAAAAATCCTGCACTTTTGTAGTCATGGAGACACTAGATTATAAAGCAAGCAATCATATTAAAGATTACCTTCTAATTCTTTAACTCTACTTTTACCCCAATTGAATCATCTCATAAATTGTCTTACAACCAGTGAATTGCATATTTTTGCATGATGCTGTCTGTTGAACCTATATTTCAAGAAAGGGGTTTTAAATAGCCTTGGTACATAACTATACAAATGGTTTAAAATACCACCAAAAGTTATATTTTAGTATGTGTCGAGTAAGAAAAGCTAAGGTCGATATGAAGGTCACATTTTTTTAAAAAAACCCTCTAATTATAGTAGCTTTAGTGACCAACATGTTACTTTAGCATTATTTTCTTTTCAGTAGTAAAATTTCCTGTTCATCCATTGTCCTGTTGAGGAATTAAGATACTTAAGTAAAATCAATTACATAACATGAAAAAGGTGACAGAGGCAGAAGAGATATATTATTGGACTATTTTCCTACTTGCAAAGTCAGTACCTGGCTTTTATACCAGAGAATAAAAATAGACAAAATCTGCCCCCAAGTTTCCAATAGGGTTTATATTAAGCAGGACATGCATCTTCCCTTTGTGACGCCACTGTATGATCAATGGAAAGAATGTTGAGACCTTGGTCATATCTAAAACTAAAACATATACACATATTATATACACTTAGACTTGTACCTTTACTTGCATGGCCTGTATGAAAGAAAGAAAACAACAATAAAGGAAGTAAATAAGGATGGTGAAAAGGTGGACATTTTGCCATTTACTTAGAAAGAAGATTTTATATAAGAGCAAAGCAATTAACAGTTCAGCCAACTCCTTAGAAATAAGCCCAGAAAAATTAATGGTTTTGTTTGAGAGTAAAGCCAGTTTTAAAAGTAAATATAATTAATGGAGCCTATACCCAAATGCAGTCACATATATGCACTGTAAAATATGGCACATATATAAGCCACCAAGTATCCTATGGGATCATAATCAGGTATAATTATAAAAAATAATAAGTAAATAAATAAAGAATAATTCATTCATGAAACCAAAACACAGTTACACATTCTCTTAAACAATGTCATAAGAAAGTATTCAAGTAAATAAATGTAGTTCTGTTGATCTTACTAAAGGGTAATTCTCATAATAAAGAATATATTGGAGTTTATTGATCCTTCCAACTATCAATATCTTTATTGTGTTACCCATAATCATGGAAGTTCACTAGCATATTTTGGGCCAATGACTCTTTCTCAGTCCAATCTATTTCACAGGACTGTTGTGGGGAAAATTGGAAGGAATAACCCCGCCTTATGTTCCTGGAGGAAAGATGGTATACAAATCCAGGTAAAAGATACCCATTTCTTTAAACCCATTTAAACCCATATCTTTAAAAAGCAAAAGAAAAATAATCTTATCTACAATATGTATTTCATAAGTATTTTAACAGGCAATCACTTTATATTTAGACTTCATCACTGAAGGAACAATGTTTTATATTGAACTAAGCCATCATCCATGAAATCTAGGCAGCAATGTCAGGGATTGAATTAAATCAAAATTCTGTGACAAGAGTAGCTGAAAATGCCTGTTTCATAATTTAAATAGAATAAGTAAGATCCCAACTTCCCACCCATTATCAATTCTATAAGTGAAAAAAGAAAACACTGTTTGTATATAATTTTGCTTTGTTCAGGGATGCCTGCTTGCGGGTGAATAGATCTTGCAATTGAAGCCCTGCCTCTTGTACCACATCTAGGCAAATACGATGGGGTAGGGCAAAAGAGCCAAGGTGGCGCAGTGGTTAAATGCAGCACTGCAGGCTACTGCTAGATCAGCAGGTCAGCGGTTCAAATCTCACCGGCTCAGGGTT